CGGTGCGGAGCGGAGGGCGCTGGGCGACCGGACCCGCGGGAGTTTAGCTGCAGCCCTTGAACGGGCTCGGCCTAAAGTGTCCGGTACCCGCAGCGGTTCCTAACGGGAGCTCCCCGCACTGCAGAGCAGGGGGTGCCCGGTGCTGCGGAGCCGGGCGGCCGACACACGGGATCAGAGACCGGACCGGAGCGGGAGACCCCTGTCTATGGAAGCTGTACAGTCAAACCAGAAGCGCTCTTCTCGCCTCCTCTCTAACCCGGTTCCGTGTTATCAGTCCAGCTGAGCTCAGAAATGAGAGATGGAGAGCAAAACTACAGAGCTGAGGTCTAGCTCTGGGTCAGAACAGATCCAATTAGTTCATTTTTGATGCAATGCCAGTATTTGAGAGCAAGTAATAAAAAATAAAATCTGTTTTTTCTCCCTCTATGGCCATGCTGGTGGGCTGGTTCAGGCTGAGCGGAGTCCAGGTAGCTGCCTGCTCCTGCCCCCTCCGCACCACGAGGGATTCTCTTCTCGGGATTCAGCTCCCTGAGTACAATGATTTTTATTTAAGGATTTGGTGTTAACTTCATTAGGATTCTGACGTTTTTGTAGCCACAGAACAGTTATATAGTGTTGAGACTATACGCTAGTCTGCAATATGAAAAAATGTAAGTAGCTAAAAAAGTATGAGGCACTTTAATTCCATTAGATGGACTGAAAATGAAAAGTTCATTTACAAATACGAATTTAGACATTTGCCTTGTTATAACAGTTTAAAGTTAACCTGAATAGCAGTGCCACAGGCAATAACTATGACCAAGACTGGGTCACGCTTTGGGGCTGATAGTAGTAGGTGACAGCTTCATGGCTTTACACAGTAAATGACAACATCTTGGACTGGTAACAGCTGGATTTCCTCCATCCATTCACCCCCTACTCCAGCTGCCAAGCCCTGTCTTTACTAAAATTACTGAAATCCTTAAAAATAGCGTAACCTTTTTTGCATGTTTGTCAAATTCTCTGCCAAATGTCTGACTCCGCCAATTGAGCTGAAGGAGACTTCCGCCTTGTCTTCGCTCTTGAGTGATGTGAACTTGCGCAACCTTTAGCTTTCCAAGATGAAAGCAGAATTCTAAGTAAAAAAAAAAACCAAAAGAATGTGTCAATTCTTTGGATCTAAAATTGGGCAAAAGTACCAAGGAGCCTGACTGGTTCTTTTTATGTGCTGAAAGCCTTTTGGTAGCTAATTGCTGTTGACCTCCTGAATTACAATGACAAGGTGGAATTCCCTGTATCTTCTAACAAAGCCAATTTCTATTTGTTGAATGTTGCCGTCTGGGAGTGATTCCTCCTTGTGTTTGTCTTGGCTTTGTGTAAACTTGTTCAGAAGTGCGATCAGTGTTGTCACTTAACTCTGATGTTGTCTCTTTTCCCTTCCTTTCTGCCTGCCTGCTGCTTTCATTCTGTAGTATTGGTATTTGCCATTCATTTCACCTTCTGCATCTATGCATCTCATGGTAGGTGATAGGCTTTTAATCCGAGATTAGATTCTGTAATGTTTCTGCATGCTAAAACTGAAAGCAGAAATAAATTGTGATGGTTTCTTTGTTCCTGAAAACACTTCCTTCAGGTTCTGTGAAAAGCTAAAGCCTATTGTAGCTTTTTGTTTTGCAGCCTTTAGTGACCATGTTAATCACTGGTCTGGCTTAATGGCTCCCAAGAAAATGCACTTTGACATAGTTGCTTCAGGTTGAGGATCGGTGACGGTGGTGGCTGGGAGAGGACACCTCTTCCCTTGGTGTTTTCTGTGAATATAGCAACTGTGCAAAGAAAGCCCAAGTAACTTTGATCCTAGCCAGGCACAGAAAGCGGATGTGCACAACACAGATCTGCTGAGCTGACCTGAAATCGTCCTTGCTGTTCCTCTTCCGGGTCTGAGAAGCTGATTTTAATGTATGAAGCAAATTATGTGCCTAGATAACTTTCTAGGGACCAGATGAGTTGTTTTTTCTTGGTGGCAGAATGTAGTAAATCTGCGAACGGATGAGCATTTTTTTCTCCTGTTGAAAGGACCAGAAATGGAGCCTAACGAGCGTTGCTCATTTGCAGCGTGTTTATGAAACACAGGTAACAGCAGTTTGAGCCAGTTTTCACCTCTAGGTCAGTGGTGGAAATAAATTCAGGTCCCTGGCAACTGCATGTTTAGGCCATCTGGGAGGTGGTCGGTAGCACAGCAAATGACCAGGAGGTGTCATTCCAGTTATGTGGGGATGTGCTCGTTAAAGCAGGGGGATGCTAATTGGCAGCTGAGGAGAGTTGCTAAGAATGGCTGCAGAGCGCGAGCAGGCTCCTGGCTTGCCTCTCCAGGTCAGATTCAGGATACGTTAATGGGAAATGCTCTGTGTGTGGAGAGAGGGAGAGAAAGAAAGTGCTCAGTCGTTCCTAGTCAAAGAGGATTTCTCTTTCCAAGGAGATTGAAGTTGCCTTGCCAAAATATGATCTGGGATCTCTCCTTATTGAGCAGCAAATTCCTTTGAGACAGCAGGTTTCTGTTCTTTCTCTGGGCCAACGGAAGCAGCGCTGGACACAGCTGCAGCCATGCTCAGTCAGTTTTCTCTTTGGCTTCTGTTAAATCCCTTTTGCCTCTGTCTAGAACTCAGAGCTCTTCACGCTGACGTACGGCGCTCTGGTCACCCAGCTGTGCAAGGACTACGAGAATGACGAGGATGTCAACAAGCAGCTTGACAAAATGTAAGTGGATCTGCTGCAGTGGAGCCTTGTAGGAGCTCGGGTTCACAGTAGGGACATCCTTGTGTGCTGCTCTATGAATAAAAGCCCGGCAGACTGAAATTTATTTAATACTGATACTTCTCAGATTTAATTTTTCTTTACTCCGCTATCTTATTTTATAAATGTTGGTTGCCTTTCTAAAGCTGTGCTCTTCCCACTCTGTAGCTGGTGCTCTTTGGTACATTCACAGGGGTTACAACATAGGTGTTCGGCTAATAGAAGATTTTCTGGCCCGGTCCAATGTTGGAAGATGCCATGATTTCCGTGAAACTGCGGATGTTATTGCAAAGGTAATTGTCAAAGCACAGCTTTATCAGATTTTGTCATGGTTTTCCACATGAGGATAGAGTATTTGCTACTCACAGGACTGTTCTGAGAGTTTGACTGAAATTTTGGGGAGGAAAAAGAGAGAATTCGATCCCTGACTACTGCTGACTGGCAGGAACCAGAAGAAAGGAGAGGTGTTTTCAAAACCCTTTAGTAATTTTACAAAGATCAAAGCTGTGCTGTTGCTTCATGGGATGCGTTCTTGTTCATACTCTGCTTGACATAACAGATAGCATTTAAAATGTACCTGGGCATCACTCCGAGCATCACCAACTGGAGTCCTGGTGGCGATGAGTTCTCCCTCATCTTGGAAAATAACCCCTTGGTGGACTTTGTTGAGCTCCCTGACAACCACTCGTCTCTCATCTATTCCAACTTGTTGTGTGGAGTGCTGCGAGGTGCCCTGGAAATGGTGAGCCAACGTGTCTCTTCCAGTGAGATAGATGTATGGATAACCGAGGTATCAGCACATACTTTAATGTCTAGTCTGTGTTTGTGACTTCTGTGTTTGGACTTGAAATTCCTCCCCAGGAGAAGAGCAGAACTACAGGAGCGCTCAGCTGCCGTTGCGTATTATGGCAGGGGGGGGGGCCCGGCGGGCAGGAGCGCCCACCTGCCGTTGCGTATTATGGCAGCTGTGAGTCCCAGAGGTGCTGTCCAAGCCCCTTCATCCTACGATCCAAGTACAAGCTCTAGTATCTCCTTGAACTTTTATGAAGCTCCAAAATCCTCACTCTGTAACTGCTGTGAGCCCTAGTTGGGAACTGGCTGGAACAAGAGAACAGCTGTGTCTCAAATTTACAAGCCTGTATTTAGGCTTATCTTGCTTAGCTGAAATTTTTGAGGAACATACATGGAGTAGCAGATGTGTCACCCTGAGTGATACGATTAATTGGGCTCTGATCTCTGCAGGGAGTCCCAGTTAACGCTGTAGGAGGTACATTTGCTGAAGCAAGATGCTTGCTGTCCACCGTGTAGGCCATAATGTAGAAGGAGGATGTGATCTTGAAAAATAATGAACGCTTCCCTACAGCTCTGCATTGCATATTATGCCCTCGGAGTCCTTAACCTGGTGCTTGACGATCAGACGTTTCCTAGAGAAGCTGCTATTATAAAGGAGATAACAGCTCTTCTTTTTCCTATTCCATCACCTAGGTTCAGATGGCCGTAGATGTAAAATTTGTCCAGGACACACTGAAGGGTGACAGCGTCACAGAAATAAGAATGAAGTTCATCAGGCGGATTGAAGACAATCTTCCCGCTGGTGAAGAGTGAATCGCAACCCAGTCTCCCTTTGGGACTGGAGGGGACCAGCTGGTTTTGGCGATTAGCTTTCATCACAGATCTGTAGGGATCTCGCGCTTTCATCACAGATCTGTAGGGATCTAGTGCCCCTGTACGTTCAGACTGACTCACTGACTGTTTAAGATGTTATTATATTCTTCTACCATTACTTCCATCCTTTGTAGAAGACAATTGTCTAGTTGCTGTTTATTTCACAGGTTCATTCTGAAGCTTTTTCATAAGGTGATGTCTTTTTTTGTAGTACCCTGAGGACTCTTTCTACGCTCAGTTATTAATTGTGACATTTGGTTGTGCAAGAACTACTGCTCAAACTCTAGAAGAGCTCCAGTCTGTTCAAATCTGTATCTATGTTTTGTTACCAGAATTGGACACCAAGCTATGAGAGCCCGCTGATCTACTGTTAAATGCTGTCCTTAAAAAGAGGTGTTTAAAATTCATTGGGAGACAAGCGCGTAGTATTTCTGTAGACCAAACTGGCTTCCTGCATTTGATTCTAAAGTTACCAGTAAAATGCAAGCTTGATACAAAGGGGTGATTTGGGAGAGCTGTTGGAGTGCTGGCACCAGCGTGGGGAGGCTCCTTTTGTCAGCGAGCAGTGGCATCACGCAGCACTGGCAGGTTCAGGAGGTGCCTGTGGCCTGGGCCTGTCTGTGGTTTCTCTTCCCCCAGCAGCCTCACGTCTCCCCTCTTGGAAGGGGGGGACACCATTAGATTGCAGTGGAGCAGCAGTAAATAATTTAAATGGAGAAAAGGAAAGGGTGGCTAAAATGCCATTGGTGTTCTACAGTGTGTACGGCCCAGGCGCTGCGTGGCAAGTCCACGGAACACAAAACTCAGACGAACAACTGGGAGGTATTAAACGCATTTCAGCAAGTCGAGTCTGTTCTCCTGTTACGGTGTATAAACACTGCGCAGTGCGGTGGTGGTGCTGGGGTATATTCTCACAGATGTTTAGGCTACAACAGAATTTCCCATGTTACTCGAATTGGCAAGCTATGGCCGTCTGTAGCACCTGCTGTTCTGTAAAATAAATACACAAAGTAGTGTTACATCTCAAAATCAGCTTCCTCCGCCATCTCGTTCGGCCAGAAAAATGCAGTCAGACATTCAGTTCTCAAATCACTTTACGTAGCATGAAGGCGCAGATCCACAGAGATAATTAGGAGCTTAAAGTCGATAGCTCTTACTCCCACTGGAGCTGGCAGCTCAGATACCTTTGTAGTTTTGTGCCTGAGTGTAAGGTGAGAGAGAGAGAAAGCTGCCACTTGTGCTGCTCTTCATTTAGGCTCTCCGGATGAACACTGGGTCATCTGGATGCTGGACGGCTCACCCTGCCCCTTTTTTTGCCCAAATGAGTCCTTGTGGTGGGAGGGTTGGGATGCCCGGTGCGATGTGCGTCCTGTGAAGGGACAGCGAGTCGCTGTAAAAGCAGAGAACGACATCGAGGAACGGCGGCGGCTGGTGGGTTTTGGAGGCAGCGGTGCCGCGTGGTCCTGTTGCAGAGAGCGAAAAGATCCATTGTTTCTTGTCATTGACCATTCTAAGGCATTTTAAGACTGCATTTTTAAAAGCAATTGCATTAAAAGAATCCGGATGTCAACTCTTTGTTTCCTCTTGGTTTTTTTATTGGTGACATGGGTGCCAGTGTGGGGCAGCGGCTGAGCGGCGTGGGCTCAGCGCCGTGCCCGGGGCTGGCAGGGTGACGGCAGCGCCGCACCAAGAATGTCTGGCTGCCAGCGCGTGTGAAAGCTGCTGCCTGAAGGAAACCTGCCCAATATTCAGCACACGGAGGGTCTGTGGCTGGCGGTGGGACACGGGGGCTGATGGGCAGCGCTGGGAAACCAGAGTTTGCGGACTGGCCTTTCTCTGCCCTGTGAATACCCCGCGTGTACATTAGCGGGGACTCGCTACCACCAGCCCAAGGTGCTCTGCTGCAGAGAGAGCTGAGATGCTGTTTGTGGTCGTCCATAGTGGCAAAAAAAAATTAAATAAATCACCTCGGGATAATTGTCCTAAATTCAAATCAAATCTTGGCTGTTTATTTTCTGAAGTACATACTGTGTATTTTATTTGTATGTTCTTGGCACACTTGTCGTATGCTGGGGCAAAAAAACCCTCAACTCTTAGACAAAACAACTTTCTTCTAAATTAAAGAGGATCTCTTCTTCTTGGTAAGCAAGGCAGTATTTAATTTTCTGCATTTGATGTTTGAGTGGTATGTAAAAGGAGATTGCACAACAAACACTGTTCTT